CTCACTGCCATAACCACATCACTGAGGTTATCGTCCTCTAAGTTCTCTGCCCGCTTTACTCGAAGGTCCGTCACCGCCGCTGTACCGCCGTTCCGTGCTCTCTGCACCATCTTTGCTCACCCGTCTATTCCGTCTTCGTCCTCGCCGGACTCTGTGCAGCAACCTTGTCGCACCGATCTCATAGACCCAACCGATACGAAAAAAATGTTTGTTAAAAAGAGAGAGGAGAGAGGAATTGAGGGACGTACACGTGGACAACCCCATGTTCCTGCCTAACAAATCTGCCAAAATTATCTACCCAAGTATCATTTTCCTTCGTTTATAGGATATAGTTCTTGTTTTTTGAAAGTTACGCAAGAGTTTTATTCCAAGAGTTTCCAGTCGACATATAATTACTGAGCCTCCTATATGTTAAAAAGAAGTCGGACAATAACCATTGTAAGCCCTACAAATATAGGTTATTCAACTTTCCTCCTCTTTCTTGAATCATTCACCGTAACAAACATAGTTTGATTTGAAGTTTTTTTTTTTTTTTTTTTAATCATTGCAAAAGCACAAAGGCCAAGTCATCAATAGCAGTACAAAGGCAAAAGTCAAGCCAGATAAAGACATACAAATCTTGAAGCAAAATAAGAAAAAATGAAAAACATGCTTCAAATTTGTTGAAAACAAGAGCCAAAGTTCTGCAACGGAAACAACCAAGGGCAAAAAGTAGCAACAGGAGTGACCCAAAGGTTAACTCTAAAACTACATCCGATCAGATCAAATCGGGAACAATCAAAACCGACATATATCAGGGATCTAGTCGGAGAGAAAATATAAGATCCACCCATTCTAGCTGGAAACAAGCCAAACATGAGCAAATCTAACCGAGTAAAAGCAAAAACGGTGTGAAAAACGCTCACAATGCGAATTTATTGAAACAAGATGAGTTTTATTAAAGCTGTGGGAGGCAAAACGACACCTCCCCTCGTGAAAGGGAGCAGGGAGAAAAACGGAGAGAAAGAAGGGGGTTTGTTGTAGAGAGAATGGTTAGAGAGAGAAAGTTTGAAGTCATATTCCTCCTCCATGTATATTTATATTATATATGTGAGTTTTGAGTAGTGAATAGTGGATACACAATAATCATCAGACTTAGTATGTTGCCATGAAAGACTGTTGAATCCTGCGGGTTAGGACAATGTGTTCAACGTGTGCCTCAATCTGCAGGACAGGTTAGGCGGTAGCTTAAGGCCCCAACCAATAAACCTAAAAATTTTCATTTCTTTATATATTATAACTTTCCTAAATGAAAACATATTTCCTTCAATTATTAAACCTCAAATAAAGAGATTTGGTAGTGGGTCTAAACAATTTATATCATTTTTTATCTTTTTTGTATCTAAAAGATTTCTATCCATTTTCACTTCTTTTTCTTTAGGCCCCCCAAAAAATCTCTATATATTATTACCTATCTAAAACCAAAGAAATTTAATAATGGGTCCAACATATTTTTTTTCCTTATATCACTTTTTTTTTTTTTTTTGGTAAACAAGTAGAAAATAAAATTAAAAAACTATACATTTTTTCTCTCTATAATTGGTGAACCTTTCTATATTTTTCTAAGACCCTTATTAACTTTTATCTTCTTTTTTTTTTTTTGTTCTTATTCCTCACACATATTTTTCATCCTTTCTCATTTTAACATTTTTTATTAATATGATTATTGATTTTTTTTATTTTTTTATCTTTTCGACTTGGTACTTGTTACAATTTCACCATCTGACTCTAGAAGAAGGTTTTGAATACATTTTTATTGTATTGAAGAATTTATTGGATTATTGGTCTAAATTCTTTGAAATAAGTTTCTATTGTTGTATAACTTAACAAAAATTAATAAAACTATATTTGTCAAATTATATATTTTGCTTGTGTGTCATTATTTTTATTTATACTGTTGAATGTGTCCATGAGAAAGCACAAGCCAAATAACTAATGATGAAATTATAGATTGAAAAAATCTTAGTGTCAAGTTAAAAATAAACAACTAATGAGCATAGATTTTATTAAAAGGCCACTTTATTTATTTTTTTGCCAAAGATAATGAGCCACCTGATAAGTTTCCTTATTTTACTCTATATTTTAATTTGTTATTTTAAATTGTTATTCTTTATGAAACTCTGTAAAATAAAAAATTCTGGTTGAAAATAACATTCATCTTATTTTTGGTTTACATGATATATAAATTAAAATAACATAACAGAAAATAATTGGATGTAAGGATATAACACTACCAAAAGTTTGTTTGTTTGTTTTTTTGATACGATGGAGTACACATTTAATTTTTCAACAATCAGCATGAAATTCATACCTCCAAAAAATTACAATTTTTAAAAGTTAGATTATAGGAAAGAGCTTTATACATTGGTTGGAGGAGGAAAGAAGAGGTGTCTCGTCTATATTTTTATTAGTAGAATGAAAGGATGTAAAATGGATAAAAGGGAGAGGGGAGTGTCTCGGCCAAATGGAAGGATGTTGGTGGATGAAAAACATGGATAGAAGACAATGGGGGTGGCGAAAGAAGAAACACGAAAACTTTGTGAATTTGATTTGGTTACATGGTAAAATTGAAAGGGCAAAAAAAAAAAGAGAAGAAAAAGTTAAAAGGAAAGGCAAAGAAAAAGGAAATCTTTCCTCACTTCTGGAAACTAAAAACTTTTCCTCTTCTTCGTTACCAAAATTTGTTGATGTGTCGATATTTTAGTGGGTTAGTAATTCCAGTGGACTTTGGAGTGTAGTGCATCCTTCAACTTTCTGCATCTATTAATCTAACTTTTAACCCTTCTTACCTTGTAAAAAAAAAAAAAAAAGTTATCAATTATTAAAATAAGTAGTTAGGGAAGTTCTGATTGATAAAATGATTTGATATAATCAAACTTTATAAATTTAAGAACGGAACAAGTTTGTAATTATTTTTTTTTTACCCTCTTCTTCCAATTTTGAAGAATTTTTAGTTTCCTGTTTGTGAAGGGAAAGAAAAAACACCATGCTTTTCTTTTCTTTTTTCAATCTCCTTTCAGTTAATACCAGGTAAAAGATGACTCTTTCGCTTTTTAATTACATAGCCAAATTAGATTCGGAGAGTTTTTGTGTTGCCTATCATTACTAATTTATTTTTATTAGTAGAATGAAAGAATGTGATGATGCTATTTATTACCAAGTAAAATAGTAGGATGTTGGAGGATGGAAAAATGGATAGAAGGCCGGGGTGTCTCGTCTATTTTTTTATGAACAATGTTTGTCTTAGGCCGTAAGAAACTTCCTTCTTATAATGAGGTGGCCCAATAAAACATCAACCGGTGTTCAAGTTTTAAAAGGAAAAATATATATATGTATATGATGATTATAGACAATAGAAACTAACCCTTCCCTCTTTCTTTCTCGGCGATTGCCTTAGGCCGCATAAGAAGGAATCTCGTTCTTATGATAAGGTGCCCAATAAAACATCAATAGGCGTTTAAGTTTTAAAAGAAAAAAATATGATGACTACAGAAACCGACCCTTCCTATTTCTCTCTCTCTCTCTCACTCACACACACACACACACACACACACACACACACATATATATATTAGATCGGCATCTTTCAGTCATATATGAGAGTTGAGACAAATAATCATATATATTATTTCTGTGTTTTGAATCTAAAATCAAACATTGTTCTGGAGAAGAAAATACATATATATGTATATATATATTGGATCGGCATCTTTCAGTCATATATGAGACTTGAGACAAATAATCACGATAAATTCATGAAAAATGATATATATCAATTCATTTTCATGATACGAATCGCCACGTATTTTTTTTTCTAAGTTTTTTCGTTGGTATAGAAATTAATTAACTATTATTATTATTATTATTATTATTTTTTTTTTTTTTGCTTATATATAAATTTTAAAACTTTCATATTCATCTTCCTTTTTTTTTTTTTTTTTCTTTTCTTTTCCTTTCTCATCCCAATCTCTCCTAAATTTTAAAACATTTCATGTTCATCTTCTTTTCTTTTGTATTTAATAACAAACTTCTCATCCAAATTTAATTATTTAAAGATGATTATCACCAAACAAAAACAATAAAAATAGATCTATTAGATTTCTTTATCGAAAAAGTTATTTAATTTGGTATAATGTGTCGTTCATATATTATATATAACATGTAATTCTGTGTTTGAGAGAGGGAATATCATCATTCATTATAGAACCAATGTAGGTCAGGGTCATTCCCCAACCTGGCCCCACTCTTTATAATATGTGGTATATATATATATATAAATTTTTTTTCTTCTCTAGAACAATGTTTGATTTTAGATTCAAAATAATATATATCGGTGCTTGAGAGAAAAAGAGGGAAGGGTCCGTTTCTATGGTCTGTAGTCTATCATTTTTTATTTTTTAAAAAACAAAAAAAAAAACTTAAACTAACTGTTGATGTTTTATTAGGCTACCTCATCATAAGAAGGAACGGTTGATGTTTTATTATACCACCTCATTATGAGAAGGAAGTTCCTTCTTATGCGGCCTAAGATAAACATTGTTCTTAAACAAAAGCATACAAAGGGCTAACATGAGCGACAACACTATATAAATTAATTGTTTGATTAAATTTTCAAAATTAAATTTTTTTTTCCACATAATTAAATTTTTTGAAATTATACCAAATCTGACTGATTAATCTTTTAGTCTAATACTTACTTAAAAGTGCCCCTACTCAAGGTTGTTTTATAATTTTTTGAAAATAGTCTTTTATCTACTAAATTATTGAAAATTGTTTTTTAAGAAATTGAAACAAACAAGAGTTAAGTTTAGTTGTTTTGTTTTTTTTTTTTCTTTGTAATCTCTCAAGTTTAGACAGTTTGGATCCGCTATTATTTAGGTTAAGAAGGGTAAAAGTGGAAAATGAGCACGAGAAGACCGACGTGTAAATCGTCTATACTATATAGGGGAGGGGCGAAATTATGAATTATTTTTGTCTCTCCTCCTCTCTCTCACTCACAGGCGAAGATGTCCTCCGCCGGAGGCACCGTCGTCATTGGCGCCCCACAGCTATATTTCTGCCATCAGTGTAATCGAACGGTCAACATAACGCCGTCTCCGAGCGACGATCTTATCTGCCCTACATGCAATGGTGGCTTTCTTGAAGAACTTGAAAACCCTAACCCCAATCCTCTTCCCAACTTCGACCCGTTCTCCGCCTTCTCGGACCCCCTGTCTGGCTTATTCGGTGGCTTGCCTTTCCTCTTCCAGTCAGGCGCCACCGCCATCGACCCCCAAAACCCTACAAACCCCTCCAACTTCTTCGGACAATCTCGGACCACCCAAACCCGTTCATTCGCCCATGATCCCGATTCCTTCGACCCGTTTGTGTTCCTCCAGAACTACCTTGGCACCCTCAGAGCAGGCGGTGCCAACATTCAGTTCGTCATCGAGAACCACCCGTCTGATCCCGGATTTGGCGTTCCGTCCAACCTCGGTGACTACTTCATAGGGCCGGGTCTCGAACAACTCATCCAGCAATTGGCTGAGAACGACCCCAACCGCTACGGCACACCTCCGGCGTCGAAGTCTGCGGTCAAGGCCCTCCCTAGCATTACTGTTGACGATGCATTGTTGGGTTCTGATTTGGCGCAGTGCGCGGTTTGTAAAGATGACTTTGAGCGCGGTTTGGAGGTCAAACAGATGCCTTGTAAGCATGTATACCATTCTGATTGCATATTCCCTTGGTTGGAATTACATAATTCATGCCCAGTGTGTCGGTATGAATTGCCAACGGATGATCCTGATTATGAAAATCGGTCTACAGAGACAACAGGCTCAGGGAATTTGAATGTGGGATCAAGTGGTGGTGGGGATTCTCAAGGAAATTCACCGGGGCAGCGGCCGCGGAGGTTTAGGATACAATTGCCGTGGCCTTTGGGGATTTTTGAGTCTCTGGGGGAGACAAGTGATGGTGGAGTTGACAACAATAATGGCAACACCGGTCGGGGATCAAACTCTGGTGGTCAGCAAAACAGGGAATTTGGTTCGGAATGAAAGATTTCAGAATTCTCAGGTACTTCTATCTGAACTAGTTCCTTTTTCTTTTTTCTAAAAGATAAATATGCACGCTAGTTTTCTTTACATGCTTATTTATTGAATGTAAAAAGAGAAAAAGACATTTGATTTTAACATTAAATTGTGAGAGACAATTATTGAGACTCGTTTGGCTATATTTTTTTGTAATCAAATCAACAAAGCCCTTTTCCACTTATTTGGGTCGGCTACTGTTTCCCCATAGTCCATACCAGTCTATCTAAGCCCGTAACCCATGGCATTATATATTTCCTAACCATCTCAAGCCATCCCTAGCATTAGATTTATATGAACCATGTCACTTTTCTTAGTCACTGCAGTTTTTAGTCCTAATTGCACAGCCAAACCATTTTAATTGGTTGTATCTCTCTTTAAGCATCTTACAAATATGTTTATTTCTAGCTTTATCCATTTTTGTATTGTCTCACATTCTCATACTTATTTTTATGAATATGATGTTCCTTTTTACCACCCAACATTTGATTCTGTAAAGGATGGTTGGTCTAAGTTTGTTTTTATAAAATTTACCTTTCAATTTTAGAAGTATATGCCGATCAAAATATAAAATCATAAGCATGCCTCTATTTAACCTCATTTTTTCTTTGGTTAACATCATTTTTTTATTAATTCTCCTTATTTGTGCATGATCGAGCCTAGGTAATGAAAATGTTAGAATTTTGGTTTTCCTTAACCTTCACTTTTCACTACATCACCACTTGTAATTTTTACTTTACTCAAGATACATAAGTTTAGTTTTATTCCTACTTATCTCAAAACTTTTAAATTCTAAATTTCTCTTCAAACATCCAATTTAGCACTTATCTTCGCTCTAGTTTCATCAATCAAAACGATATTATCAGCAACTACCATACAATGTGGAACTTCATACTAAATATGTTTTGTTAGTTCATCCTTAATTAAGGAAAAGTGGTATGAACTTAATATTGATCCTTGATTTAAGCTTATAGAAATTGAAAATTCATATACTTCTCCCATAGTTAGTATCGACATTGTTACATAGCCAAGTGAAAGTTTACCTATATGTTATATTAAAAGAGCGTCGGTAGCCACAGCCGTTTAGGCAACTGTGGCGGCTCAGTCGCTTAAAAGAGGGATGCTAACATTTGTGGCTCCTTTTCCCAACAATTCTTTTCCTATTCAATTTTTTTGGGGTCTATCATTCTCTCTAATTACCATATTGTCCTGTTACCATTCCAAAGGAAATAGAAAAACCATCAATTTTTCTCCAGCATCTTCCACAGTAATAGTTGAAAATATTTGGTACAAAGAGGACGGAACATATAGCTAGAGAAAACCAACAGTCAGGAGCGGAGGCAGGGGTAGGCCTTTTATTAGTACAACCTAAAATGAGAAATAGTATAGATAAATGCATACTTGGCCCCCCCAAAATATTTTATAACTATAAATGGTATCTAACTTTCTATTAAAAATACACAACTTTCTTAAACTCTTTTTTTTTTAAACCTTTCAATATTATATTAAACTAAGCCTAATTGCAATAATAGATAATATATTCACTTTACTTTAGAGTTGAAAGTTTCCCAAAATATTTTCTAACTATAAATGGTTTATAACTTTCTATTAAAAAGACACGACTTTTTTATACTTTTTTTTGTTTCCCTCTTAAACCTTTCAATATTATATTAAACTAAGCCCAATTGCAATAATAGATAATATATTCACTTTAATTTAGAGTTGAAAGTTTTTAAATTTTTGGCTTAACTGTCTTACTTTTGTACATATATATGTCATTTTTTACTAGATATAGGCTATATATATATATATATTTAACACAAATTAGCTGACGTTGGTTTGATAAATTTTTGTATGACTTAGCTGACGTTGGTTTGATAAATTTTTGTATGACTATTGAGGAGGCCCAGGATGACATGGGCTGGATATGACTTGCAAACACGACATCCGGTCCGTATAGCTGGGTCAGCCCATAAAAAGACACTGCCATATGGGCTGAACGCGAATAAGCCCATCAAAGGTGACCAGGACTTATGGAGGAACAGGCCCAGATCCAGCAATCCGTCAATATTTGTAAAAATCTATAAATAGGAGAAAGAATGGAAAGAAGGAGGAGAGATCTTTTTGTTAAAATGTAAGAATTCTAGAGAGAGAAAGAGAGTATGAATTTCTTGCATCTTCAATTGGCGCCGTCTGTGGGAAGCGTTGAAGATTGATTGATCAACTGATCAATATCGTGTGGATTCAGACCAATTGGTGAAAACGAAACTCAATCTTTGGGAGTTGAATCCAGATCTGAGCGATTGTGACCTACTCTGGAAGAATCTTAGTTCCTGCTGCTTTGGCGGAAGTGGCTTCGGAACAACGCAACAACGAGTTGCTCGATTGTGGCAGGATCTGACAAATTTAGAACTCGGACAATTCAGATCTCGTCAACCGTAAGCATAATTCGAAGAATTCGAAACCAGATCTGAAAAATTCGCACTCACGAAGCTCAGATCTACTCGCGAATCTGAGATTAATGCCTTTACTCCGTTCAGGAATAATGATAGGTGAAAGCTCCAATTCGATGGAGGCTATCCAGCAAACGAAGCTTGAGGAGTTGATGAACTTGATCGAAGCTCTCAAAAAAGAGAATGCAGAATTGAAAGCTGGAATGCAACATCAGCAAATACCTGCGGTTTCGCATCCACTTCCGGTCGGTGAAGGAGGTGTTCAATCTAATATCGCGCATCATGGCGAGCAGGGCGAGAACAATCAGTCAGCTCATCACCGTGATGAAAGGATGATGGACAATTTGCCGCCAAATGTTCGTCGAGTTGAGGATCACGAAGGATCGACTCACGTTGATCCGCGACATGAGCAGATCAGACAGAATGAAGCCATGACCTTAGATCCACATCAGGAAAGGTTCAATCGAGAGGAGGAGACAGAGGTTGATCGCCGCCGAGTTGCGTCGTCTTGGCAAAGAGAGCTCATAGAGGAACGGTCGTTCGATCCGTCCTACCGGCCTTCCATGGCTACAATCACTTATCGCGGTTCGGAGAGCAGAACCGTAGCCTACAGAGCTACCACTGGCCGCCAAAGAGAGAATGAAGCGCTCCGATCCGCAGCTCGAACGGTTGATTCACCATTCACTGACGAGATCCTGAATGCCCCTCATCCAAGGAAGTTTGCTATGCCAGTGTTTATTCTGTTTGACGGAACAACCGATCCGATCGATCATGTGTACCATATCCAGTTGAAGATGGCCCTGAATACGGAAAACGATGCTTTAATGTGCAAATGTTTCCCTACAAGCCTAGCTGGACCGGCGCTCAGCTGGTTCAAGAACTTGCCTAAGAGCTCCATTGGTAGCTTCCGAGATCTGTGCGATCGGTTCATAAGTCAGTACTATGGGAACAAGCGCCCGCCAAAGGACATCTCAAGCCTATTCACAATGAGACAGCACAAAGATGAACGTCTCCAGGCTTTTCTCACCAGGTTTAATCTCACTAAGAGTATGGTGATCGAATGCCACCCTTCTACAGCGGTTCAAGCCTTCAAGTTGGCCATGACACGTGGCACTCCGTTCCATACCATTCTGGTAGTGAACACGCCGACGACTATGGATGAACTTAATGAAAGAGCCGACGGCTTTGTGCGCCTAGAAGAAGAGGAGGCAGCCAATGCTCGGACAGCGTCGCTCGTGTCGACCGAGGAGAAGTCCAAGGCAAAGATCAGGCAGAAGCAAATTCAGCCGCAGCGTCAGACCTCCTGGAAGGCAGAAAAGAGGTCCAGGGAGGAAGAGCTGATTACTCCGCTGAAAGTCACTCTGGCGAGGCTATATCAGGAGAACAAAGATAAGTTTCATCCACCACTGCCAATTAGGCAACCCCTCGAACAGAGGGATCAGACTAAACATTGTGCTTTCCATTCCGATTTCGGTCATCAGACTAACGAGTGCAGGAATTTGAGAAGGCAAGTGGAGATGTTGATAGCTAGAGGGGAGTTCGCGAGTTATGTTCAAGGCTCGGCGATAGAGCAGAATCGACCGGCGGAACAAATAAAAAGGAGTCACAAACAAAGCTCCCACAATTCACAACCAGTTCGTATAATCAATGCTATCCACGGTCGACCCGAGTCTAGCGAAGAGTCAGATGAGCTACTCCGAGCGCGCCTACGGCAGGCGCAGATGAAGAAAAGGGTCAGCAGTGTGAATACTCTACACCAGCAGATCACGTCGATGCAGATAAAGTTCGACAGGACAGACCTGCAGCGTGTTCAAGTCCCCCATGAAGATCCGTTGGTAGTCAGTTTAACAGTGGCGGACTGCTTGGTGCGCAGAGTTCTGATCGATCCCGGGAGCAGTGCGAATGTCATGCCGAGGGACACATTTGATCGGCTCGAGATTAAACCAGAGAGGCTCAAGCCCACCGGAAATCCCCTGTTAGGGTTCAATGGCAAGAGGGTGGAACCCGTCGGGATGGTGGAAGTAGAAGTTCAAGCTGCAGAACGAGCTCTTATGGAAACTTTTGTGGTTGTAGAAATTCACCCCTCGTATAATCTCCTGATGGGAAGAGGATGGATTCACAGAGTCCAAGGTGTACCCTCAACTCTGCATCAGGTCATGAGGTGCCTCGGACCCGATGGAGATAAAGTGATAGACATTCGGGGTGATCAGGTTGCAGCCAAAGAGTGCTATTCCGTCACACTAAAGTCTGCTGGGAAAGGGAAGGCGTCCGTCCGATCGGCAAGCCCCAGATAGCAATTACAGGAACCTCCGCCCGAGCAGAACAGGGTGGAGGAGTCAGTTGACTTGACCGAAGAGCCCCTTCTGGATGTGCAGATTGATCAATCCAGGCCAGAACGAACTACCAGAGTAGGTATAAGACTGACCAGAGAAGAGCAGCAAGAGCTAGTGGATTTCTTGTCCCACAATGCCGACGTGTTTGCATGGAGTCACCTAGACATGCCTGGAATTAATCCCTCCGTATCCTGTCATTC